CTCTCTCTCTCTCTCTCTCTCTCTCTCTCTCTCACTCCCAATCTTTCTGTCACACTCAAAGTTCGTTTTAAGACTAAAAGGTCATTTACCCTCTAAAGAAAAGGACGGACGCTCTGTTCTCTGCTTTTTCGTAACCTTGTAAGATGTAGATCTAAAGGTTGTCTAAGTGCACCGTCACAGCGTGCTTACAACAACGTGTCGGAGGAGGCTATCATGGTCTAGAGATTACAGTGTTCGCATCTCATTCAATAGGTTCCGGGTTCGAATCCAGATAGCGACTCCTGACTCTTTCCGCATAAGGTCATATGAGCGCCCGGGACACATTAAACATTTTCAGTTGGTAGGAAATTTTGAATTTTGCCCAACTGGCGGCCGAAGCATACTCTTATCGATTTTGGACCACCAATTAAGTGATCTTTAACGTGCGCAACTTGCACACGGGACCTCCGAGATTTTTCACCCTTGTTCGAGAAGGCTAGTATTAAAATAGTCTAGATCTTTCCTACTATAACATCAGGGGTGTAGCTGAAAGAGAGCAGTAAGAAGGAGCCAAGGCGTAGCAGTAGAAAGGCTGCAGAAAGAGCCAGAAAGAATGTAAAAAGTGGACTTCAAATCCTCATCCCAATTGACTCGAAAATCTATTGAAGGTCACTGGTACGTGTGCTGTCGTATGGTTGAACAGAGATCTTTATTACTGCCGTATCCAAATGAACTAGCCACGAGGAAGGGAGAGCAGTATTAAAGAACGAGAGCCCGCCGTTCAGAAGTTACTTGACTTTACTGCGCACACCCGGTGTCTCTACCCTTCGTGGGGCCACATGTAAGCCGCCGTGACGTCACGCAAGAACGCTTTTAGCTTATTTGAGGGAGGGGGGGGGGTCTCAAGTAGACATTTACCTGCTCCGCCTTACTCAGTTTACCTGTAACAGGATTAAACAGAGATCTTTCTATATTGCCGTATTGTGTTGACTAAGGCGTTTAGAAGGCTTCACCATAATATTGATTGACAGGGAAAACAAGGTCGATTCGATCAGTGTTAACAAGCGGGAATGCGTTTGTAAAGCGCACTGATGGAAATGCGCTATGTAAATGTAATTTAACCAAATATATTATTTATTATCAATACTTTTTCTTTTTTTTATATCTTCTAAGCTGAAAACTTGTTGTGTAGAGGGGTATCAATGTTTAGGGAAATTCAATTTAAAAACACAAGGTCAGAAGCAGTGATGGGTGTGTACTGTAGAGTAAAAACTATAGCGGTGCGTACATGTACAGTGTTTTCTTGTCTCTTTGCTAGACTTTTGTTTGTACCTTTGTAAGTTTATTTGTCTCTGTCGCTGTTTCTGTCTCTATTTTTAAAACTTTCTTATCCCCCCCCCCTCTCTCTCACCTCCCT